ATATAATTGAACACGATAAGAGGAGATGTTGGATACTAATATCAATGATATATCAACTCCACCCCCCCCCCCCCCTTCCCCCCCAAAAAAGAGGAAAAAACCACAACACATGTAGAAAGATATGGCTAATGAATAGAAGGTCCTTTAACGATGAAATTTATATATAAATCAAAAGGCTTGAATGTTAAAACTAGATAACATTACACATATATGCATGGAAACATATTTGTTGATGTGGATGGCCATTAATGCTTATATCCAACACATGAATAAAAGGAGATGTTGGTTATATGCCAAAGAGACAGTGGCCCCAAAACCAAATCAAGTAAATAGGAATTAAATGGATTTTGACTAACCATGCTAACAGGACACAATTTATAAAAAAATGACAGAGTTCACATGAAAATATCTATGCATTTTGGTTTTTATACATAAATTCTAGCATGTTTATATAGTACACACATTCTTATTTAGTGATTTTATATTCTATGCTAAATCTAAAAAGAATACATTTAGGAAGCTCACTTTGCTTCTTAAATAGTTTTTGTATTTCTTGTTAACTGTAAACCACCTAGCAATAAGCATGATACATTATTTATAGATATTTATTCATTGCAATAATTCATTTGAGAAAAGATGCAACCTTCACAACCTTTTGTTCAATAAGACGCATTAAATACATAATGAAACAATGACCACATTTTGTTAAATAACCTTTTTAAAAGGACAACTGTTATGACTTTGTGCATTGTTTCCGGAAAATTAAATTAATAATATTGTTTTATTTTGTTAATTGATATTATTTTGAACCATTATAGAAATACTCATTTTCAATGCTTTATATTATTAAATATATTCATTTAATTGATCTGTTTTGTTGTCCATGACTCAGAAATTATTTGAAAACAAATATACTAATAATGCATTCTTGTTAAATAAATCACCTATAGATAAGAATTTAAACAGCAAAATATATGAATATTTACTTTGTAGTCAAATTCAACATGAATTTTCTCAAATTATATTTTACATTACCATGATTACTTTGAGTGTTCTTCAAAATGCAAGACATTATTATACATCATCCAAAAGGTAATTAAGTAAACCAGGGAAATACTTAGAAACCGGTGTTAGCAACACAATATATGCATATGTACATGTGGTTGATTTTTGGTTAAAAAAAATCCAGTGACAAATATTTCATGCCAATATAGGACAAGACAGTGAACAATACATTACCATACAATATGTATAGGTCCTATGAAAGGCCATCCCGCACAACCAAACCAATGCCCTACTTGAAAAGGGTTTAACAATTAGACGACAAGATCAAGAGTGACCTTTTTCTATTCCCTTGTCACCCTTGGGGTGATGGTTGTGAAGTGGATAGGGGATTGAAAAGTTTAGTCAGATTTATGAAGACACATGATTAACATGAGAATTTCACTAGCAATAGGTGACTTTAAACAATCAATTTTGTTCTAAACTGATCTGATTTTTTGTTCAATATGAACATTTGCACAAGTCACAGGTCCTTTAATAAATGAAATGTCATGTTTTGTCACACATCAACATCCTCCCAAGGATAACAGGTCAGAATTTGCCATGTCAGCTAGATCCACACATACAGTCTACACAGATGGGCACAGGCTTTTCAGCCCAGGCATGTAAAATGACTATCAGGCCTGTAAAATTTTCTATCATTCTGCCAATATTGATGATTTTCCTATTTTCATTTTCATCTAATAAGAGATTTGTCAAGGGCAAGATGAAAAAAGGAATGTGCATAAGATCACTAAGAGAGTGTTTGACTTGGGGTTTTCAGCATAGAAAAAAAATGGATTAAAAAGGGGGAGGGAAAATGGGGATTTACCTGAATTTCAATGATGCATAAACTTTTTACAATCTTAAATCCTAACTGCCTTGGAACATGCTACTATGCAGAATTGCGGCGAAAGATCATATAGGATAACATCATGTCGATTCTTACCTGTACTGTAGAAAGAATTTGGACATTTTTTCCTTCAAAATATTGGATGAATGATGATGATAATGATGATAGATTTGCTTTAAAATATTGTTCATTTCTACTCACCGAATGCAATTTCAAGCTCAGCTTATATTGTGGTCTAACTAAACAACTGTAGCTTCCTTTTGTAAAATGTTGTTTGACGACCACGGTCGGTCTGCCGACAGGAATGCAACAAAACAATAAAGAGGATGAACCGTTAACTGTGAAAATTTGTTCCGTTTTTGATCAAATTTGACAGATTTGATTAATTATCATCGACAAATATCCCTCATGGATAGCACTTCAAATAAAAGCAGTTATTGTGCTGTATAGAATAGGTAGTCATATTCTTTAAATTTACTTCAGGTACACCGTCGTTAGTTCGTAATCCTACACTTCTGCATAATTTATCAAAACAATTTCAAATATGAATTAAAATGAATTCATTAGCATTATTAGCATCTTCTGCAATAATTCTTAACCTCTTTTTTAAACGGAGACTTTTCATATGATGAAGCAAGTTATGAACAATTCTGAATAAACGGAATATTAGATAAAGATACCTAAAGGATAGTCAAACGCACAAGTCGAAAATGAACGGACAATGACGCGGCAATAAACGGGAAACGACAAAATGATCAACAACGATCGCAAAAAATAAATAAATAATAATAAAAATAAAACCCAAAATAGATGATAATAATATAATGTATTTGACAGCACCAACGTCTGAAAAGTTGACACAAACAAATTTTAACTGTCCCAACTATCAAAAGGTTGGGATACACACTATACAACTGCCACAACAACAAGACTGTAGCAAATAGTATTTGACTGTGACAACGCCGTAAACAACTGCACAGTCCTCAAATGACTGTGGATAATAATTTTTGTTTTTCACAACCCCTAAAAGTGTTGGGATAGGCATGAATAAGCTGTTACAACAACATAAGGCAACTGTCACAACCCTTACATTTCTTATCATTTGATTTGAAAGTCATTTTCAGTCTTCCACAGACCAAAACAGTCGTACAACGACTGTTACTAATATGGACAGTTGTTTTTTCGTCCACTAGTCCGAAGTTTTATGTAAGGAGCACAACCTGCTCAGGAAGTCCGTTTAGATTGAACATACACGAGCGCAACGTATTAACTGAGATATAAAAAATTCTTGTTGACGTGAGCAGAGGCTATGTTAATGCTGATAATTTTGAAATTGACAATTGGAAAATTGAAATATTTACATTTGTCATATTCTAGTCGTTCAACGGTGTCAATATCGAGGAAATATTAAAATATCAAGCTGACCTGTACCGAGTCATGAATATGACACTTGTTTTCCGTTCGTTAGATGTGTTTGAGCTTTTGATTTTGCCATTTTATAAAGGACATTCCGTTTTGAATTTCTCTTTGAGTTCGGTTTTTTTGTTATTTTACTTTTTTTTATTTCTATAAACTGTCGCTTATATTAAATACATGAAATTTGTAGATACAAAATATATAGGTCCCAATTCAATCTGGCTATAGGGTTTCAAAGGAAAAATGATAGCTTTGTGTTTGAATTTTACTTATAGAATTGTATTATATTCAAGTGAGAGAGCAGTTTTATTTAGTGATGGATATAAACAAATTTGACCATTGATCGATGTATATGAGATAACTGGTAAATTATACACATGGTAGTATAAATGGGGTCTATAGAATAGAGAATAGAGAAGAGGTAAAATCACAAAAATACTAAACTCCGAGGAAAATTCTAAAAGGAAAGTCCCTAATCAAATGGCAAAATCAAAAACTCAAACAGATCAAACGAATTGATAACAACTGTCATATTCCTGACTTGGTACAGTAAGGAATAAGTGTGTGCTAAATTATAAATAATAGATAGAAAAAAATGAAGACCTTCATATCATGATCCTAATATATAGTATGGAATCATTCGAACTTGGATAGGAACAAAAATAATACAAAACAGGTATACATCAAACACGTAAACACACCTACCTACAAAAGCAAAGACATTTAATTTCAAACGATTATCATTTAAGTAATACAACAAAATTAACCCACACTGAATTCAGTATGATCATCAGATGCGTATTTAAAATCACATAACAAAGGACAAAATAAAATTAAGAACCACGAAAAGGAATGCCTACTTTTATTTTTGGAGAATGACCAAACAAATTAAACAAATATTGTATATCTATAAGATAACTTTTATTTTATTGTTTATCTACATTATTTTAGCTTGTGTACTATATAACATAAAGGTAATTTGTGATATCATTAACATGTCCTAATTGGCACATTTAACAGAAAATTGTCAATTAACACTAAGTGTGGGACAAAAAAGATACAACTAAATTAATGCGACAGTAGAAAACCGGTGTTAAAATCCCGTAAATTGATTAGGAACAGACAAATCAAGATATCAAACAAAGTAACTTGGAGAATCGTAGAACTCCGAAAGAAGGAGACTAGATTTTTGACAGGATAAGCGTCTTCTCCAATGCATGCAAATTCACAATCAGTCAAAATGTCATAATCGGTAAATGTACAGATCAGGCGACTATAATAGAATCTTAAGATCTAAGACCACGCAAAAATGTTGCTAGTGTGTTAAGACACTGACAAATCGTATCGTCAACCAATTTGTAAGGTTGACGGTAGAACTAATGTTGTGTCGAATTCTGTCGTTCTTCCTTTTAACTCATTCAATATATAACTTGACTTGATATCTTGGTCCATGAGATTTTAAGATTAAAAAAAGGTTTGTCCATAGTTTACTTCAAAATTTAATTCTTATCCTGGTATCTATGATGAGTTTATTCTTATCTTGACATCACACTTGTGACTAACGAGGGGACAAACGGTCGGACATTTGCATCACTATATAATCCCTTTACGTGCGAAGGTATGAAAACAGAACAGATATATTAAAATAGTCTTATAATAATAGATTATTTTTATTTTGTAACAATCCTACCTAGTTTTGGAGTCTTTGTACTTGTATGTGATCCTGTAGAGGGTTCCTTCATAGGGCAGCAAGCCAAAAATAAGGAACAGTGTTCTAAGATTTGGTCATAGGTACTTGAGCAGCAAGTACTATCACTTGTGCACAACATGGCACACTGGATTCGGGATTTTGCTTCCACTGTATGAACTGATGCTCCATTTTGAACTATTCTTATGTTTGTGTTGGTGTTAAACTTCTGTGTTTTAATACCAAAACTTTCAACATATTGTGCAAAAAGTGCAAACACAACTGCTGTTCTTATATAAAACATAGCATTCATTGATAATCCGCTACCATTTGAGAATATGGTTTTGTAGTTTTACTGTATAGCGTCTTCGCACAATAACCAAACAAATATGATGAGTCTATGAAGATGTAACAAAGTGATTGCTTTATTGTATGATATATTGGTCTATTGATTTCTGTCATAAATAATTGAAATTATAATTTCAATAACATCACATAAACATTTTGGAAATGTATTTATTTTTCAATGGAGCTTGAAATTTGATATAAGAAAGTCGTATGATTTCAATTGGTCGAGCTTTTAACTCTTATTTCATGAAATTAATGTATGACAGATCATCAATACATTTAGAAAATACTTGGAGTAAATTACATTTTTCAGTCCCATGAAAAATATACGATAACCAATGAAAAACCTTTATTAAGTGTAGACACCTTTTGCGTTTACCGTAAAAACGTACATTTGGTATTACAAATCTACGAAAATTAAGAAGAAGGGTACAAAGCGTTAGCTATTTTTCCTGATCTTTCAATCTTAATTAAATTTGGTAGTTTCGATTTCTGTCGTTGTTCCTTATTTTTTTTTCATTTTTTAAAGTACTGGTTAAATACAATAGCTGCTGGACTATGAGTTCCCGAGGGTATCATCAGCTCAGTAGTGTGGTAGTAAGTCACTGCTTTGATACTGACATGATTTATGACATACATTTCTTAAATTATTAAGACACTCAGGTCCCTAAAATAAATTAACTTTCGGTCGATTATTTTAAGGTATCATTTAAACATATTTATACACCCTCGGCTTTCAAATATTTTGCTTTGGAAAAATCGCTTTGGACGCAAAACATGTATGAATTGGTGTTTGTATATTTTTTGTTTAAGTGTGCAGAGGAAAGAAAATTCAGAAAGTTGTTCCGGACTTACAAAGTTGAACCAGTGTAGCTTTCATTGAAGTGAGAGGTATAGCTTTATAAACAAAGTTTAATCCACCTTTTGTTCTACATGAGAAAATGCCTGTACCATTAAGAAATATTTCCATTCGTTTGATGTGTTGAAGTTTTCAATTTTGCCATTTTCAGTTTTGAATTTTCTATGAAGTTCGGTATTTTTCTATATCATATTTTTTACTTGCTCTGAGTAGGTTTTTTTACTGTCTTTGGACTGTTATCTATTAGATCAATATTAAGTGCGTATATACTAAGACATATTCCTAAACTTCATCGTTGAAAAAAAAGAGACTAATGTTTATGGCATTTTAATAGAGAGTACTTTTAGATTGGAACTTTGTAGATATATTCGTTGTGTCCTTTATATCGATCTGATGAGTCATTTCTGTTAACTGATTTTACCATTTGTTTTTAATTTGTTGTTGTTAAATCCCCTTCCATTTACAGGAAAGGTTGATCGCTCGTGAACATGTTGAAACCCGCCGAATTCTATGCTATCCAAGGTCAGGAGCCTGTTATATGGTGGTTGTTGTTAGTCGTTGTTTATCATATGTGTTTTGTGGTTATAACATGATACAGTCCTGTACATCAACTAAGCCAAAGAGTTTTTTCATTTAAATTATTCTATTTTTGACATGTCGGGACATTTTATTGATTAATATACGGTATGGTATTTGCTCATTGACGACTACTAGTTGCCTTCATCTACCGATTATCTGTTGTGCAAACACCCTCGAACTGAAATGACACAACGTAACGAGATTCTAATTCATTGTGAACATTATGTACTATATCTTGTATGAAGGTATTATTTTGTTTGCCTCGAACAAAATATTTCATTTGTTAGAAAGCGTATGAAGCCGCTGCCAATAATTCAGGACTCGTTATGGATCGTTTTGAATAATGTCGTAAAAGGCATGCTTTAATTAGTGTACCAGTACACTCGTCCTAATCCCTGGAGCATTATCGACTACTTTTAGTGCAGTGTATTGAAATGAGTGTAACGTATACTAAAATATTAATGATTTCTAGATTAGTTTTATTGACAATCAAATATCTGATTATCTTTAAATCGGCACAATAACACTTATTGCGTAACAATTCAGTAAACACGGTAAATATTTCATAGGTACTTTTGATGTGCAATATTTTAAGCTATTGACTAGTATGATACATCAAAACTTCAATTAAGAAGGCAATTTCATTTTACTATGGAACAGTGATGCATTGCATAGTTATGACTTACGCTTATGAAACAGACATTCAAATTAAAAAAAAAGATTATACTATGTTAGAATATTGCAATTAGTATTGTCAAACTTAATTGAACACTGCGTTGTAAATAGTCAGTATTTCTGTGTTGACACGAATTATCATTGATATTGTAATATTAGTAAATCAACTGTTTACAAAACTGAGAATTGTTCGAAATACTTAGGACTTTCGACACCAGAAATAGACTATATTAGCTGTATTTGAAAAACCTTTCGGTATGTTTTGTTCTCAATGCTCCACCTCTTCGAACTGTATTTGTTTGGCCTTTTAACATTTTTTTATTTGGGCGTCCCTGTCTTTTGTAGAAAGACGAACTACAAGTCTGGTATCTTCTATAAGTTGTTTTTAAATTTTTTATTGGAATGAGTGTATGTTTCAAAGGAATAACAGAAGAGATTATAGCATTAAAAGATATCAAACCTCGTTTTGTACAAGCTTAACAATATGACATATTGTTTTAACACTTGTATGGTATTTATGATGTTGAAGACCATATATTGACGTAAATAACTTTTTTAGTCGGATTCCTGTCTGATCTGTATAAAACGTTAAATGTCGGTGATTTTGTTTGGTACTATATATCTTTATTTTATTACCTTGATGTATACTTCACAAATAATACAAGATGGTCCCGAGCGATAGATAATAGGTCCTGAAGTTGTGAACTTTTTATTAATTCACAGTTTTCCTTTTATTTGTTTTTGTGCTATTACGCCCTGTTTTCATATGACTCTTTAGCGTGACTCGGATTTTTTTGCTGACGTTTTTGTCAAATTTCATGTACACTTCTCCAATTTGAATTTACAAAGAGTTCCGTAATTTTGTTATACTTTTATACATGTACCAATGAGTTGTCTTTACCTACTTTAGCCCTGTACTTCTGAAGTCACACCTATTCAAATCCGTTATAAACATAGATAGGGTAAAAAGAGAATTAACATTCGTTTAAAATTCATGACGCTTTCCTTTATGATGTTCTCTCCTCTGTTTCAAAAAAACAAGCTTTTCAAAAGAGTGTTATAAATTGATAAAAGAGAGACTCCAGATACCCGAGGGACATAAAAACTCATAAATCGAAAATAAACTGACAACGCCATATAGGTTGTAGAATTATTACAGCGATTCAAGTATTATACACCTACAACAAAGCAAGGATAAATCTAACATAGTATACAGCAGTTCCATATATATCGCATCTGGTGCAGTAAAATAGGTACCCGTAATGTTAATATTATAACTGGTCGATACTTCTGCTGGTGGACTGTTACTCCCGAGGGTATCAACAACCCGGTAGCCAGTACTTCGGTAGTGGAATGAAAAATAAACGTATAATGTGTTTTTTTTTATTTTTTGTTTCAAAAGGTTTGACATCATTTTAAATTAAGGACAATATCTCCTTCATGCTAAGCTCTGATTCCTTCCATGGCTTTGGATATACCATTTGTCTTTTTTTGGTTTATAAGCTCTTCATTTTTCTTTAATAAGTTTTGGATTTTCAAAATTTTGATCTCGATCATCACTGAATAATTTTGTTGTCGAAATTCGCATCTGGTGCAGTAAAATTGGTACTGTTAATGTTGTTACTATTGATGATGCCACTAAAGCTTTCTCTTAAATGACTCGTATATCTGCATTGTAGTTTCACACAGGAATAGTGTCTAGCCTTAAGTATTGTCGGCCTTACATTCCTAAGTATTGAGAGTCAATGAATTCAGTTTTATGTTCGTTCCTTCCAACTGCACATGTTGTTACAGGATGCGGCACTATATCATCTCTGTTTAATTTAGGCAACAAATCCTTACTAAAGGTATTGAAAGAAACACCCTATCAATTCAATGATTTATATCAGATCAATTCAATGACTTATCCCCGTTCAATTCAATGACTTATTCTATATATAACCATAAGATATAAATGATTCATTCGACGTCAGGTTGATAGCAATGTGGCACATGTATGATGCCAAGAAAAAGTCTTAACGTTGCCATAAAAATCTAAACAGGCTATGTGTGAAATTTGCAACCTTTAAATGCTCTAACTAGGCCCAACTTCCACGTTGAGAAGCATCATTTTAACCACGCGTGTTGAGATCTCTATTGAAAAAATCTGGTGAATGCGCATGAAGCTAAATCGGTTCTTGGGTCGCTCCTAAAATTTTGGTTGGAAAGCATGAAATTTTGCTCTTGAACCGTTCTTGATTGAATGTCAAATGTCATCCGACTTCCTTCAAGGTTTGGTGTGCATGTGCAACGGGTTATCAGTGTGCAGTAAGATTTGTGCGTTTTGAAGATAGTTTGTTTTGCACTGAAATTTGTCAATGTAAAACACCTGTGTCATTATATCAATACACACTTGACAGATGTTGATGATGATGATGATGATGATAATGATGATGATGATGATGATGATGATGATGATGATGATGATGATGATGATGATGATGATGCTGCTGATTGATTATCTGAGCTATTTACATCTTAAACATTCGAATGAATTTAAAAGACTTACTTTGCATCCAGTTATTGTCTATTTTTTTATGTTGTTAATAAATTTATGTAAGTTATCACACACACAGTATTTTCGTTCTATACGATATGATACTTGGCACATTACGAACGTCAAATAACGCCAAGAAACGTTGACAGGATACTTATATATATTTTGAAAAATTTTATACGAACACATGTTTATGTAAAAACAGAAATATCATAGATACATTTAGTCTGAAATGAAAATGTCAAATACTGACTAAAAAGCCAATGGGACTAAATTCAATAAAATTTTGTTTTTCCCCTCCTTTACTTCCCGTTTAAATTTTAAATACTGACAAGTCTATTAAAAGATACATTTTTATATTAATTTGTATAATTAAAGT